CGGGCCCCTGCGCCCCCCCCCCCCCGCGCAGCCAAACCTCAGGAGGTGGATGCAGCCGGCTGGCGCTGGCAGGCTAGGATCCGGAGTGGGGTCTCGAAGCACCTCCGTGCCCAGGTTTCCCCCATCACCACTTCCGCTTCTGCTGCCGCGCGCACACGCACACACACACACACATGCACACACACACACACACAAGCTTCACCGGTCCTGTTCTAGACCCTTGTGGCTCATGAAATTTGACTGGGTGGTTTCTCTGTCCGGCCAGCCAGAGAGGGTTGCTGGGAGCCTTTTGGAAGCCATCAATTGACTAGATGGGCGGGGTATAAATGCAATAAATAAATAAAGCCACAGAAGAAAAAAGGGTCCCACTTTGGGACCCCTCCATCTGTGGGATCCGTATCGCCGGGTTCACTTATTCGCTGGCTGGAAATGCTAAATAAAAAACTCCATAACTACCTATTTGTATATTTTATAGGGTGCATTTACTAGAACTGGTCATGAGAGGGAGCCCGAGACCACACCCTGTCTAGCCTCCCGTACTTCTGCATGTTTCAGCATCCGTGGGAGGGCTTGGAGCCAATCCTTCACGGATCCTGCCATCCTAATGTATAACGAATCAACCCATGAAATGGGTTGCCTCCTTCCAATCTTCATGGACTCAGCTTGGCCGTTTCGGCTCCCCAGTTCAAAGGAGGTGGAAGAGACTGATAAGCAGAGGACACTTTGCCTTGGAGGCAGCACATGGGAGGGAGGGAGGGAAGGGGCCAAGGGGGGTGGGGAAGAAGGGCTTTGGAAAGACCTGAGGCTGGGTCACCAGGTTTAGAGGGAACAGAGCAGTCCCCCATCCCAGGGAAGAAAGTCAGCCCTCTCCATGGCATGCAGGGTGTGAATGCTCCTCTAAAAGGAACCGGAGCTCTGTGGTTGCCCTGGAGCTGGGGAAGAGATGGCTTCTGAGCTCCGGAGTGTCACCCAAGCAGCCTCCCTCCCGGTGTGATTTATTTTATTTTATTTTATTTATACCCCACCTATCTAGTCCACCAAAAGGATGCCTTGAGGCCCCAGCTGAAAGCTTCAGTGGTGCTAGCCTGGGGGATGCGGCAGGGCGGGGCTGAAATTTGGGGGCCAAGCACCACCTTGGCATGCCAAAGGACCAAAGGTTCTTTTCTCAACGTCTCCGTGGAGGGCTGGGAAAGATTCTTTCCTTCAAGCCCTAGAGAGCCGTGGAGGGCTGGTCACCCGTGTAGTAGACAACCCTGGGTCAGGGAGTCTGAAACCTGAACCTCTCCCTAAGGGCTCTAAAGAACTTGATAGACCTCCCTGGGAAAAACCAGCCGGCTCTGTTCATTGCAGCTGGCATTCATCCCAGTTAAGGGTCAATTGCAGAAGGATGCCAGCCAATGATTTCCAATCATATCAGCATTCATCTGAGTATCAAAATGTAAGTCTTTTTGCTATTGCAAGGATTCCAGGCAATGCCGGCTTGTCTGTTACTACAAGCTTTATTTACCTACATATGTTTCATAGGCTCAAAAATACTTCAAAGTTTGAAAAGACCCATAGTTGTCTTACAGCTATGGAAAAACTGTAGGTCAAAGTTTGAAAAGACCCATAGCTGTCTTACAGCTATGGAAAAACTGTAGGTACAGCTGCTTAAGCGTAACTTGCCATCCAAAGTAACACAACTGTGGAAACTTGCAAGTCAGAAATAACCCAACAACGAAACGTAAGTTGTAGGCAGAAATGAAATCATATATGAATCAAAAAAATAAAAGAACATATAGCCTAAAAGAGGCACTTTGAAAAAAACAAAAGGCATTTCTAAAACATATTATTAAAAAGTAAAAAAGCATTGTGATGTAAATAATCTTCAGCCATTGAGCATATTAAAAATACACACACACATAAACATACTGTACTTTCTGTGTTAACTCAGCCAGGCCAATTGCAATCTGTGGAGGAAAACCCTTGTTGAAAATGAAACCTGCTGCTTCACTACCACATGACTGTTGTTGATATCTGTTGTGTCTGGAGTAGCATGGAGTATTGTTGTGATACGTTGAATTCCTGTGTGTGTCTGTCTTATTTCCCTATATTATAATTTTTTCAGTTGTTTTGCTTTCTCCTTCAAACTATAAACAATCTTTTCTCTAGGGGCCTTGTTATGGTACTGTGATCTTGTTGGCTGGAGAACTAGCTAATTATTTTGCAATGAATATAGTAAACTATTGCTCAAGACTCAGTTTTAAAAGCATTTTCATTTCCAGGCCTATGTGATCTATATCCCTCTTTGTTATTTTAGCACTCTATGCACACAAAATTTCCCATCTTGACATCCTATACACACATACAAACACCACGGGGTGACTGAAACGTACTTGATCTTGTCTGATTTCAGGAGCTAAGCAGGGTCAGGCCTGGTTGGGAATGAGAGGGACGTCCTCCAGGGAAACGATTTGGCTTTAGATTGTGTAGAGAGGCTGCCAGCCTGAGCTGCCAGCAGCGGTGGTCTAGACAGAACCAGGATGTTGTGCGTACGAGGCAACGGTGAATGCCACCCTTGCCCATTCTTATGCTGAAGTGAAACCTCTCCCCTGGCAGATCTCCGATTACGAGTCCGAGATCGCTGGACTCCGCCAGCAGCTGCTTTGCGAGATCCATCAGCTGGAGGCTCAGAAAGAAGAGGCGATCCGCGAGGCCTCTCAGTGCTCCGAACAACACCTCCAGCGTTTGCAGAAACAGCTGGCAGGTACCTGGAGTAGGGTTTGGTTGGAGGTCCCGTGAGCCACAAGAACGTGGCCCTCCGGAAAAGGGGGCCCAGGGGAGGAAATCAGTCCTCTTGTGTGCAGTTATCCTCACCTGTCCTGGCTGTGACTAGGAAGGGGCATGTGGAATCCAGGGTCCATGGTCCCAGATGTGGTTTTTCAACTACAACTCCCAGAATCCCCCCACGGCTGCAGCCACAGGATTTCGGGAGCTGTTGTCTGAAAGAGAAATAGATCCCTCTGAGTCTTGGAAAGAGGGGAGGGGGGACAACAGACGTCCACCCTCACTGGCCTGTCCCAAAGGGCCTTGAGGGGGGGGTCCTCCCGGACGTTACAGGGGTTGGTGTGAGATCGGGGTGCCGTGCTGTGTTCCGAGGAGGGGGCCCCGTGGAGGGTCCCGACTGCAACACGCAGGAGGCCAGTGGCTCTTCCCGTCCCTCTCTGCCCCCTTCTCTCCAACCCTCTCTCTGCTCCCCCAGGCGTACAGCAGCGTCTGGACACCCTCCAGCCTCTCCTCAGGGGCATGAAGGCCGACTACAGCCACCTGCGCGGACAGGTGCGCAGCTTTGCCGAGTGTTACGAAGCTGCCCTCGAGGAGGCTCGGCAAAAGGTGAGACCCACGGGCAAGGTGGCACGAGGCGTCCGTCGGTTGTCTGCTGAGCAAGAATCAGACCCTAAACGAATGGGCCACTTGAACAAGGAACTGGGCTGGGTCAGGTTGGCCTGCCCAAGGCACGTGAATGAGGGTCGGCGCGTATTCGGCGCGTATGGCCCCTCTCCCCCCTCTCCCCCCCCACGGGAAAGACCTGCATATCTCTCTCTCTCTCTCTCTCTCTCTCTCTCTCGGATGGGCAGCAGGCCTGGGAGAGGTGCCCACTGAGGCTGTCCACCGGGAGGTTGGGCTGGTTGGGCTCCGGGTGCAGGGTGGCCACCTTGTTCCCTCTGCTCCAAGGTGCCAGCCGTGAGCCGTTGGCAGCAGGGGCCACCGGGGCAAAAATGAAATGCTTGAGTTCCTAGTGCGTTCACAAAGGGGCACCCACCAAGGTCTCTGGCTAGGGGAGAGAATACACCTCTTGGGTTGTGCCCAGCCCTTGGGGAAAGGAGGGAAGAAGGGGGGGAGAGGAAGGGGGCAGGGAGGAAGACCCACAGAATGGGGGGGTCTGTGGCAGTGGCTGGCTGGCGTGGCTTCCAAGGGCAGGCGAGGGGATGCATGGGGGTTCTTGGGCTCAGCCAGGTCCTCTGCCCCACCCACTCTGCCTTCCTTCCACCCCGCCCCCCCCAGATGGGCTCAGCCCTCCACGAGGTCGCCCACAGTGCTCATTCACTGCAAGAGCGCTACCAGCGGGAGGTGCACCTTCGCAAGAAGTACCACGACCAGCTGTTGGAGCTGAAAGGTAGTATGTGGGGCTAACGGGGAGCATGGGTGTGTGTGTCTTGTGGTGGTGGGGGGGGGAGGAGGAAACCTTTCCAAGGGGTTTCTTTTCTGCACAGGGAAGGTGCTCGGGCCACTTGCCGGCCACATCCATCCCTGACTACGAAAGGCGGCTCTTTCTGTGGCTCCCTCTGAATCCTGACCCTCCCCTCAAGTGGCTGCCATTGACCAGCAGATCAATAGGGAACGGACTGTGCTCATGTGGGGCCTGGTCGGGCACCGCCTTTCCTGCGTTGCTTTGGCCCGGATGAACCGCCTGCTGGTGTGTGCCCTGCCGGGAGCCCTCTTGGCGGGCAGCCCTTGTCCCAGACGCTGAAATGTGGGTCAGGAACGCCCTGCTTGAGACGACGCTCTGACACAATGGAAACTCATAAATCAAGAGCAAGGTGGCTTGTACGAACCAGCGGACAGGCTGCCAGAGGTGGTTTGGGGAGCAGCCGGGAGGGGTGCTCAGTGTTGGAATGGCAAAGGAGAGAAAAAACCCAGGTTCTTTGAGTTTCCTGACCCAGAGGGCTCTCTGTAACATGCCAGTGGGATTTTGGCCCCTCCTCGCCATGTGGGAGAGCTGGCACATTGAGATGCGAAGTGGAGGGACCAGCAGGGAGATCCCCTTGAGCATCCTTTTCTCCCTCCCCCCTCCAGCCTCAAATGCCTCCAGCGGAACCAGCTATCTGGCGGTGGGCTGCCTCCACCCCCCGCCAGCGGGCTGTCTCTCTGGAGCCAAGTACCCCAGGCAGTTTCTGAGGGGTTATAGAAGCCGCCTGAGTGCTGGAGAGGGTCAAAACACTGACACAGCAGCGGTTGCTTCTCTGCCAAACCCTGTAAGCACTTCCTGAACTTTGCTTTCATACAGTTACCTGGAAGTGGAATTAAAATTCTACGCATGTTTAATACAATGCCTGCCTTCTCTCCTAAAATTTCTGTGATGGATGTTGCTAAGAGTTCAGTTTACACCTTGCCCTTCCCACCACCCAGCTTGGTGGCACATCAAGTCCTTCTCCTAGGAGTTTAGAACAGGTCACAGACTGCATAAAAAGGCAGAATGTGAAAACATACATTGCAATACTGGAAGCCATCCATCACACACGCCACATAAAACACAAGAAAGGCAAGCCGTATTAAGCAAGCAGCCACAGAAGCTGAGTTAAGTCCTGTCCCACCCAGATTGCCAGCCGCTTTCTCCCGGATACACCTTCTGGGTGGCTGTAGCTGCTATACCGAAACTGTTATTAATTATAATTAGCTTTTATAAAGAGCTTCCGTTCATTTCCCCCCTGTGTTCGCTTTTGTTCCCAAAAGAAAAGTGGGAAGACTTTTAATTACCCATTTGTTCTCGTCCTTTGTCCTCTGTCGTGGCAAAACAGTGCGGATGCTGAGCGCTGAATATAGTGTCACAAGCCAAACTCAGAAAGAGAGGTCCACATGGACCAGCGTGCGCCTGGCTGCTGTGAACTGGCCACTATGGAGGGAGGGGCAGCCACGGTGGCGTGCCTCCAGTCAGCGGAAGGGGAGATGCTCTGTCGGCCGGTGCCAAAACCAGGCCCAGCGGGCTCCTTTGGCTGTCCCTCGGAGGGCCGTGGCCGTGGCACAGTAACCCCTGGCTGTGGCTCCGGCTGTTCCATGCGACCCGGGGTGTCCTCCTGACCCTGACGCCGGGGTCTCCTGCCACTCTGCTCCTGCCGACAGGGAACATCCGGGTCTTGTGCCGCCTGAAGCCCCCGGCCGAGGAGGAGCAGGAGGAGCGGGAGGGAGATGGGGGCGCCACGGTGGAAGCCGACTCCACGGACGACGGGACCGTGACCACCTGCTACAAAGGGAAGTCGCGCGCCTTCAGGCTGGACAAGGTCTTCCTGCCACAGGCCACCCAGGAGGAGGTGAGAGGGGGCCCTCCAGCCGCACACACACCCCCCCCGCAGGGCACTGGGGACCTGGCTCTCCAGGTCCACCTCCCCACCTGAAATGGGGCCTTTTCCCATTCCCGTGCCACGTCTTCCTCTGCCGCCACCGCCACCATATCCTGACCCAAAACAGCTCCGTGCCAACCCAGAAGGGCAGGTTAAGACAGGGGAACCATGGGTGAGCATTTGGACACTGAGAAGAATCCCCTGCGCTGGAGGGCTGTGTGCTTTTTTTGGGTGTGTGTGTGTGTGTGTGGGGGGCCCAGCACCCAAACCAGCTTCGTGCCAACCCAGAAGGGCAGGTTAAGACGGGGGAACCGTGGGTGAGTGTTTGGACACTGAGAAGAATCCCCTGCACTGGAGGGCTGTGCACTTTTTTGGGTGTGTGTGTGTGTGGGGGGGAAGCAAAGGGGACTTCAGGGGCTATTAAACCGACAAGTTTGACCACTACTTTGGCTCGACCCTTTTTGGGCTCCCGATGGGCTCCCTGCCTCCTGAAGGCTTCCGGAATGGGGTCCTGCCCGATACGAAGACAAAGGATGCTCCAGGGGGGCTGTGTGCGAGGATGCTGAGCTGGCCCTTGGCAAGGTGGCCGAAGGATGCTTGCCTGCCTCCTGCCTCCAAAGGTGTGCCATCTCAGACCAAGAGACAGTGGGACTAGTGGTTAGAGAACTGGACTCGGATAGGGGCAGCCAGTTTCTGGTTCCCACTGAGCCGTGATCCTCTCCAGCTGAACCCTTGGCTAGCCGCACTCTCTTGGCTTGGTCTACTTCGCAGGGCTGATGTGTGCAGAAAAGAGCAACAAGGAGAGCTAGCTGCATTTGCCTTGATGTCCCCGAGGAAAGGAAAGAAAATTGAGTATAAATGTGAGAAAGAACTGAAAGGGCATGGAGGTGATGATAGATGGGGATTAGAAATAATTGCCTTGGTGCCGGATTAATACCTTTACAAGCCCTAAGCACTGAGATGATTGTGGTGCCTCCTAAAAATATAAACATGGGGAGGGTCCCATGGCTTGAAAAAATATATTACGCGCCCATTATGTGCATGAAAACACAGTCATTTAATTGTGTAGCATGTGGCCAAAAAGAACCACGTGTCATATACAAAACCATACGTACAATCAAATTACCGGCTTCAAGCTAAATCGGGTGCTTTCACGCTTTGATTCATGTCAACAGAGGTCGTCAGAATCTGTAAGCTGAGAAGCTCAAACAAGAGCTTAAAACTCCTTTACGGGCGTTTTTAATTGTGGCTATTGTTTCTTTGGCTGGCACCTGTAGTGCAGAGGCCCTCCGTCTAAAAGACCAGCAGCTCCTTTTTATCCTTATCCCCTCCCAAAATAAAGAAGTAACCCCACCACCACCACAAAAACAAAAAACCAACAAAAAAACCCACCCCTCCACCAAGTGATGATGATGACTGATAATTCCACTCATAACATGACCTTTTCCGACTAGGCAAGTCTTTATCCTTGTTCGTTTTTACTAGGTCCTACTCCATCGTTTTAGGTAGCAGGGTGGTTTTCTTGTGGCTCTTAACAAGGGAGGGAGAGAACCGAGGATGAGAGGTGGAGGGGTTTGTTAAGGAGGGTGTGCCCGTGGCACCCGGGTCCATGGTCAATCTGGCTGCGGTGCCCCCTTGTTGACGCCCTAAGGCATGTACCTATTTTGCTTAATAGTTAATCCGGGGACAAATTGCCTACATTTTGACTCTGGGGAGAGCTATGTATGCCACCTGGTGCTTTTGCGAGGAAAGGTGGGGGACAGAAATCACAAGCCAAGAGGAGACCAGAGGCGCCACTTCCTGGGCACGGAACACGGTCCGTCTCCCATGGAGGCAAGAGAGACGGCCCTCGTGGGCTTCAGACTTTTTCCCCTCCCTTTGTCTTTGGTGCTGCGAGCCACAGAAAGTGCCAAGGATTGGGTGGCTGGCAGACCACGGAGAGAACAGGCAGGAAGAGAGGCCCTCCATGGGACGGGCTCCCAGGCGTGAGGGGCCGAGCTGGTCGCCATGTTGGTCCTTGTCTTTCCAGAATTGGGGGGGGGTAATGATTCTGCTAGAAGAGTGGGGGGGGAGAGAAGGTCGGCCCCAACCCCGTCAGGTTCTAGATGCCTGCCAGAACAGGGGCTGGGTGGTTTGAGGTCAGCAATCAGTGGCTGTTCTCTGTCCCTGAAGACCCCCTTGGTCTCGGCCAGACTTGACCTGGCCCCCTGCTGCTTTTTGATCCCCCCTTGATGTCTAGGTCTCTGCCAGGAAAGGGGCCCCACGGTCCACCCAGAGAGGCAGGGATGTGGCTGCCACACCAGCAGGTAACTCGCTTGCTCTCCACCCTTGGTTCCCGCACCGCCAGCCACCGCGCCCTTCCACCACTGCCACCGGCCACAGCTCCTCACACCCGGACCCCTGTCGACGTCTTGGCACGCACACTGGCCTCAGTCCCCTCCACTCCTTTGCCTCACAGCCTCTCTGCAGCCCTTTGCACCAATCCGTGGGGCGAGGTGGGGTCGTGCTGCACCCTCCCTCCAGCTTCCTGTCTGCGTCCGCAGGTCTTCCAGGAGGTCGAGCCGCTGGTCGCCACCTGCCTGGACGGCTACAACGTCTGCATCTTTGCCTATGGCCAGACGGGCTCCGGGAAGACGTACACCATGGAGGTCAGTGACACCCGGCAAGCCCCCCCCCCGCAGGCGGGGTCTCTCGACAGGGAGGCCCTTGGCACACACACACACACTGGGGTGGAGGTGGGCAGGCAGATTTCCCACTGCAACGCACCCGACCAATGGCTGCTGCACCGACACCCCTGAGTTCTGGTCTACCGATGGCCTGTGGGGCCTTCTTGATTGCTTTCATGTTGAGAGAGACTCAGAAAAATTCTCTCTCCTTTTTTGGATGATTATTTCCAAAATCTTCAGCCAGCATGCCATGATAAGGGGCTGATCAGGCATTTCTACACCTTGGGGGGGGTAAACCCCAAATGCACAGTTACAAGATGGGAGACTCTTGGCTCAGAAATTCTATGAGTGAGAAGGATCTCGGAGTTGTTGTAGATCAAAAGTTGAATATGAGCCGACAGTGTGATGGGGCTGCAAAAAAGGCAAAGATGATTTTTGATGCATTAAGAGAAGTGTAGTCTCCAAATCTTGTGAGGTACCATCCCCCCTCTATTTGGCACTGATTAGGCCTCATCCTGAATACTGTGTCCATTTATGGACATCACATGTCAAGGACGATGAAGACAAATTGGGACGAGTTCAGGAGAGGGTAAGGCTGAAAGAATTGGGTATAGCCTTGAGAAAAGAAGACCAAGGGGTGATAGGAGAGCACTTTTCAAACACTTCAAAGGCTGTCCTACAGAGGAGGGGCAGGATCTGTTTTGGATCATCCCAGAGTGCAGGACACGCAACCATGGGCTCAAGTTAGAGGAAGCCAGATTTCGGTTGAATATCAGGCAAAACCTCCTAACTGTTAGAGCAGTATGACAATGGAACTGATGAACTCAGGGGGGGGGGGCAGGTGAGCACTCCAAGGTTGAAGGCATCTAAGAGAAGATTTAAACAAGCGCCTGTCAGGTCTGCGTTGGTTTGGATCCCTGCACTGAGCAGGGGGTGGGTCTCAATAGCCCTCCATGACTCTATGACTCTATGATTCTATTCTCGATTGCCCTCCAACTCCATGACTCTATGACTCTATGATTCTATGAAGAGAACCCCTTGGTGCCATGGAGGTGAGCTCTGGGAAGACCCCCACTCTCTTCCTTTCACCTTCGGTTCCAGGGTGTCCCAGATAACCCCGGGATCAACCAGCGAGCGTTGCAGACCCTCTACCGGGAGATGGAGGCCAAGGAAGGGAGCTGGACCTTCTCCGTCGGCCTCAGCATGGTGGAGATTTACAACGAGGTGATCAGGTGAGGGTGGGGGGGACTCCGAAGGTGGATCCTAAGCCCCCCCCCGTTATTCCCAGAAGCCAGGAAAGGAGTGGGGGTGGAGGGGGCCTTCCTGAAAGTGTGGCATCCACCCCAGAAGCAAGTAAGGCAAATCCCTGTGGCAACCCCAGGATTTGACCTGGAATCATGAGAAGGACATGCGGGGCCAACTCTGATTAATGGGCTGTGAGCTAACTCAGCGTTGCCTGCTCCCATGGACGCTGCTGGTGGTGATGGGTCTCTGCTCGGGCCCCTTTCTTCTTGCGAACCAGAGTGGCGGACGGGCCCCTTGGCTAAAGCCTCTCCTCCTCCTCCTCCTCTCAGTGGGGTGGCCCTCCTGGTTTGGCTGGTGGGATTCAGAGTCTGAGAGCGGCGTGATAGCTCCCTCTTGTCCTTCGGGCTGTAGAGACCGGATGGGAAGGAGACCCTCCTGGTCCCTAAGAGAGCCTGGCTTTGTGCAAACGTCGCCGTTCCTTTCCGGGCTTTGACCCGTTGCTCAAATCACTCAAATTATGCAGGAAAAATGGGGTAGAAATTGTGCCTTGTGAAGCAAGAGGTGTAATCTTCCCTAATTTACACAATTCATTTTGAATTTGAGGGACCCAGGAGCTCTATAAGGCTTTGTCTGGTGGGGGTGGGGATGGGGTCTCCTCTCCTTTCAAAATGTTTCTTACTCGCCCATCAGGGTGTGTGTGTGTGTGTGTGTGTGTGTGTGTGTGTGTGCGTGTGCGTGTGCGTGTGCGTTTGCGTGTGTGTACCCATCTGAGGTTCTTTTTGATCAAGAGCAAAGAGCCACAGATTTGACCAGCGTCACTCCGTTTTTCCTTCCTTCCCTAACCCTTCCTTACCTCCTTCAGGGAAAAGGATATTGTAGGTGTTGCAAACTTGGCCTTTGTGTGTGTGCGTGCGTGCCACTGAAAGGGCAAACTTGTTGCCTTGGGGTGGGGTGAGGGGGCTAGGCTGGGAACAGGTATCCCTGAAGGAGAAAGGGTGCCGGTGGGTAGGCGGGCGGAAGGAGTGCTCCCCTTTTTATAGAATCTGATCTGGATGGGTTGAGGAAAGAGCCATTAAAAGGGAACAAAGACAGAGGAGCAATGAACTGCACGGATGGGCCCTGGATGCAAATGCTGACCCCATGACTCTGGAGGGAGGGAGCTATTTCAGATCAGTTCATCCTGCATCAAAGTGTGTCTGTGAGACTCTCCCTGGTGCGTAAAGGAACACACCCACCCCATCGGCCCAGGGTCATCCGTACATGCTCTCCACCCCTCCTCTGGCAGTTCCCCGTCCCCCTTCCTGGGTCGTCCAAAGCAAAGGTGGCTCTCACTCTGCCCTTCACCTGCTCAAAGCCCTTGGTGATCACGGGCCACGGCGGCGGGTCAGCTGTGGAAAGACCGCCGCGGCCCCACGTGGGCAGTGCGCTGCTAGGTTGCGCCTCGTGTTCCCTCCCTTTAGGGATCTCCTCGGAAAGGATTCCCAAGAGAAGCTAGAGATCAAGCTGAACCCAGATGGAAGCGGTCAGCTGCATGTCCCGGGCCTGACCAGCGTGGAGGTGCGCAGCCTCCGGGAGATCCAAAAGGTGAGGCCAAGGGCAGACCCTTCCGTCTCCCGAGAGGGGACAGGCCAGCTTTCCAAGTGGGTTTGGGGGTCTGTGAATTCTCCGCCCGGTCAACTTGCCTGGAGCCTCCAAGACAAAGATATTGTTGGTTTTAATTCTCGGACTGGAAGCCGCCCAGAGTAGATGCGCAGAATCTAGATGGATGGGGTAAAAGCCGAAAAATATATAAAATAAATAAAGACAAACGTGGGGGAGGAAAGGACCCCAAAGTGGAACGCAGGGACGGCGTCCCTTCTCCCCAGCCTTCTGGGCACAGCGGGAGCCGCGCCAGTGGGCACGCTGGAGAGGGTGCGGGGTGTGTGTGTGTGTGCCATCGGTTCCCTAGCTGGCCAGGCTCCCCTCCTGCCCGGTCGGGGCCCAACCTCTCCTTCCTCTTGCCTCCCCCCTCCCCGACCCAGATGCTCTCGTTGGGGAAGCGGAACCGGGCCACCCACGCCACCAACATGAACGAGCGCAGCTCCCGCTCACACGCACTCCTCACCGTCACCATCACCGGCACGGAACGGGCCAGCGGGACTAAAGTCACAGGTACGGGTTCTAGAAGAGGTTGCCGTCTCAGTCCGTGCAAGGTTCCGCCGGAGTGCAGCCGGAGCAGAGGCCCCAGGGGCAAAGGGTCCGCCTCTTCTTCCCCTCGAGGCCAAACCGTGCACGCTGTCTCGGTCCGTGCAAGGTTCCGCTGTTGCTCCTTTTGTGGCCTCCTTGGGGGCTGGGCCCACCGGGGGAACCCCTCCGAGGCAGGGGGCCCAAATCCCCAATGAAGAACAGAGGCTGCCATTGTGGGTCTCTCCTGGCTCCAGAATGAAAACCCCGCTGGGCTCTCCTGCCGGGGCCGGCAGCCTCTGCGGTTTTAAAAAGGCAGCCACTGCCCTTTCTGGGCTTCAGCCGCCTGTCTCGTCCCTGGGGGGGTTGAGAAGCCCAAAACCTGGGAAAGGTACTTTTTAGATTGCAATCACAAGAAACCACAATACGTTCTTGAGGGCTGCCATCCCCAAAAGTGTCTCCGCTGTGGCCCATCTCCTCGTAAAACACACCCACCGGCATTCGGTCTGTTCTGGACTGGGCCTCTAACCCAAACCTCCTTTGTGCGTTATTGCTGTTCTGTGGCACCTCATAGCAGCCCTAATAGGGCTTCCAAGGCCCCTGAGATGTGGACAGAGTTGTTTCCCCCCCCCAAGTGTGTTTCCATGTCCGAATGAGGATTTGAACCCTGGTCTCCAGAGTCCTCGTCTGTCCCTCTGTCCACTACGCCGGACTGGGTGATCTGCCCTTCCTGAGCACCACCTGGATAAAGTTCACAGGTGGCTTTGCCAAGGTTTGGCTCCATCGTGATGCGAAAGCCCGATGGGTAACCCATTTAAACTCCTCCTCTTTATTGTAAAGTATCTTGCCACAGGAAACAATACTCAGCCATTCTGGTGTTTTAAGAAGCTCTGGAAATTTTGGGGGACTTACATAGACATCATCTCTTCCCGCACCCCAACGTCCTCCTTCCCCCTGAGAGTACCTGGGGGAGGAGAAGGTTTTTTTTTCCAGGGGCAGTATTTATTTTTATTTATCTATTTATATTATTTATATGCTTCCAGTCTATTGTTGCATCCTGTCCCCCTTGTTGGGATGCAGAGTAATGGAAGGTGGTTTGGGTCGCAGGGAGAAATCAAGAGCCATTACCTTTACTCAACACCCGCTCCTGGTGGAAAGGACAAGGGCCAGAACTGACTTGTTGATGTGTATCAGCAGCCCGGTTGCTGGACTTTTTGGCCTTGTTGAAGTGGGGGCTGGCCTTTGTGACTTTCAAGAGGAGCGTTGGCGCTACCCAGTTGATGTCCAGAAAAATGCGGCCGGAGCAGAGGCCCCAGGGGCAAAGGGTCCGCCTCTTCTTCCCCTCGAGGCCAAACCGTGCAGACCAGACACCAAGCCCCCCCTGGCTCAACCCTGTCTTGTCCTGCCCCTCCAGGAAAGCTGAACCTGGTGGACCTGGCTGGCTCGGAGCGCGCGTGGAAGTCCGGGGCCCAGGGCGAGCGGCTGAAGGAAGCCCAGAACATCAACAAGTCCCTGCTGGCTTTGGGGGAAGTGATCCAGGCGTTGCGGGCCAAGCAGCCCCACGTGCCGTTCCGCAACTCCAAGCTCACCTACCTGTTGCAGGACTCCCTGGGGAAGGGCAGCAAGACCATCATGATGGTCCAGGTGAGGACAGGCCTGCTGGGCGGCGGCTGGCCTGGCCTGTGGTCAGTTGTGGCCAAACAGGAGGAGGGAGGAGGGGGGAAAGTCCCATCTACCCCTCCTGGGGCCGTGGCCTGGGCTGACCAGGAAACGGCGTCTTGACCTTGTACCATCCGTCTGACCCCTGGCCATTCAAAGGGGGGGGGATCCTGCTTTGAGAGGCTGCAAGGTGTGCCTGAGGAGGCTCTCATGTCTGGATAAGCTCCCTTCTGAGCCTTTGGAAAGCAGGCAGAACTTTCCCGTCCTGCCTGGGCCTGAAAAGTTTTCAAAACTGCTTTTTAAATTGGGGGCTGAATCCATTTGAAATACAGTCTTAAGTCCATGTTGGCCATTCAAAGGGGGGGGGATCCTGCTTTGAGAGGCTGCAAGGTGTGCCTGAGGAGGCTCTCATGTCTGGATAAGCTCCCTTCTGAGCCTTTGGAAAGCAGGCAGAACTTTCCCGTCCTGCCTGGGCCTGAAAAGTTTTCAAAACTGCTTTTTAAATTGGGGGCTGAATCCATTTGAAATACAGTCTTAAGTCCATGTTGGGCAGAAAAGAGTTTAACAACTTTTTTTTAAAAGAGTAAATTATAAAACCATTCCAGGCCCTGGGGTATCATTTCTCCCCCCCCACATCCATTTATTTTATACTTATTGATTAATTTGGAGGATACCTCGCCTCCCTCCCCCCCGCCCATTGCCACACTGTCCCATTCTCTTTTACCTGGAAAAAGAACACACCTTTTCTTCCACTGGCCACTTTGGAATTAGAGGGGCCGGTGAGCAGAGGGAGACCCCCCCCCCACGCTGCCCAGTCTCTCCTCCGAAAGAAAACGAGGAAAGGCAAAGAAGAAGCTCAGCTCCTCCTTTCCCCTGTCCAAGCCAAGGCGCCTCTGAATTATTCATTGACGCCTTTATTTCAAATACTGTATGGACTTGTGGCTTTTCAGTTTACCAGCACGCGCCTGGTAAGCAAGGTAGAGTAGGCAGAAACGTGATTTTAAAACCCCAATCGGAAAAACAGGACTTGGAAAGCCCATTGCAAGCCCAGTGGTAAAAGACCGACGGCCCCAATCCACTCGCTGGTGCCTCCGAGAGCTTTAGCACAGCCACTGCTAGCAACCTTCTCCCGCCCTGGGGATCTGCCTGCCTGCCTGCTCTTTTTTTTTGCTTCGGGGGGGGGCAGCCCTCGTAGCCTCCAACACAAAAGCCACAGGGAGAAGGTCCGGGTCCTCTCAAAGGCTGATGCCTTAACAGAAGCCTTTGCGGCCCCCATCCCATAAAGTGGGCTGCGGTCCCTAAACGCCGGTGGCCGGATGAGACACGTGGGCCATTTTCAAGAGGTCACAATGAGCGCGTGGCTTGCTTTTGCAGTCAGGGGAAGGGTGCCCACCGCCCAGCTCACTGATGGGGCCGAGGGGACGGGAGGAACATTTGGGGACTCGGCCGAGCGAGGGCTTGCAGCAACAGACCCTTAGATCTTGGCCAAAGCCTGGGAAACATGGCTGTTTTGGACGACAAGCCCCAGAATCCCCCCGCCAGGTCTGCTGACTGCTGGATTCTGGGTTTTGAGCCCAAAAGGCTGATTTTTCTGCACCTCTCCCCTTCCCGGCTAAACTAGTAAAGAGAGGACCTGAGCTGAGACGGTCTTTGGGTCTTTTAAGAAGAGGTTTGAACCGGATGGCACCCTGAGCAGGAGTTCCCCCTTATAGCAGCCCAGCTGGAAGAGGGGGGGCCTCTGCCCCGGGGTGGTGGATGTTCAGAGGGCGGTGGAAGGTTTTCTGCCCGGCCCCTTTTCTCCCCTCTCCTCCTTCTCTGTCCCCAGATCTCTCCCTTGGCGAAGAACGTGGGGGAATCCATCTGCTCCCTCAAGTTTGCCCAGCGGGTCTGCAAAGTGGAGCTGGGGCCGGCCTCGCGACGCGTCGACACCTCCAATGCGGCTGCCTGAGGTCTGGTGGTGCCCCTGGAAGAGGAGCCCCCCCTCCTCCACGGGCCGT